CTCCCGCTCCCGGCCCCAGAGGAAGGCTGGGGCGGCCCCGGGGTACTGAGGGAAGCCCTACATCTTCTGGAGTTCATCAACTCCCTCCCCCAACCGCCAGCCCACGTCCCTTCTCACTCCCCTCCTCCCCAGGGACGCACAGCCTCAGAGCTGCGGCCTTTCTGCCGGATCAATAACCAAAATGCTCCAGGAAGGCGACTCCGAGGAGACTTAGCGGAAAACTGGAGGTTGGCTGGATCGGGCACTCTCCATCCCTGCCCCCAGATGCAAACCTCCAGCTACACTCTTGAACTCAGAAGGAAGGGCGCGCCTGGCGCTCCCGGGAGAGAAGGCTGAGAACGTAGTAAAGGATCCGGAGAGCGTGAGGCAAGGGGACTGACGGCACGATCCACACTCCCCAGGGGAGAGAAAACGGACGTGCAGACAGAAAACCGGGTCCAAGAGCCGAGCCGAGGGGGTTGAATGAGGCCACGGCTGATAGGCGGTAAAGGCCCGGTTCCCCTGCGGCTCTGAGGCCGTCACACAGGGGACCGTGCCCTCATAGAGTGATGGAAGCTGGGCATTCCTTGTGTCAAGCCCCCATTCGTTGACACTCCCTCCTCGACCCCAGTCCTCGGTCCCAGGTGTGGTCTGGGCTGGCCAGGGCCAAGGTGCGCGGCTGGAGGCCAGACCTGGCAGCGGCAGGGGAGCTGAGCCGTGGGTGTCCCTGGGCACTGCTGGCTGTCTGAGGCCCCCAGGTACCCAGCACTCTCTGAGGAGCCCTTGCTCCCGGAATTTAGCTTCTTGGACAGAGCCAAGAGAGGCCAGGTCGGGATTTCCCTTCCTTTGACTCCGAAGGGGCTTAGAAGAAAGATGGAGAGAGAGCAGCGAAGATGTGCGCACCTAGAAGGATCTATGGCTTCCCCCCCTAAAACGCTGTAAGAGCAGCTTTTGCTTCCTTTCTTTTGGCCCTCCTGCTAGGGTGAGCGAGGATGCTTCCGTGGAGGGTCTGATTGACAGTGGGGCAGGGACGGTGGCTGTGAGGGTGTAAATGGCTGTGGCATGGCTGAATGTGTGGCTGGTGCAGCTTCCATGACTCCGATAAGCAGGTATATGAGTGTGCGAGTGTTAGGGCCTTCGTGTTTGTCCCGTGTGCATGTGAACAGCTGAGTGTATGTGTCCAACCTCACATGTCTCCAGCCTGAGGTAGGCGGGAGGGAGAGCACCAATTATTTGAGTAACTGTGCCTCAGTGAGGGGTTTGGGACTCTGGGAAAGGGGACAGTCAAGGGGGCAGGGGAGGAGGCCAGCTGCTCTGTACTAATAGAAAGGACGGAAGACAGGCAGAAGGAAGGAAGGAAAGGAGGGAGGGAGCAAGGAGGGAGAAAGGAAACTTGCCCACAGGTGATTTGGCAGTGGAAGGGGAGCAGCAGTATTTTGCCCAGGGTGTGGGGCATAGTGTGCAGGGGGGAGGCACTGAAGGGCCTGGGAGAAAACAGGTTCATAGCTATAGGAGTGCTCTTACTCCCTCCTAGGGAGGATGAGCCTTGTGCAGGGTCCCATGGAGCCTGGCCCCTTAAGGAGCAACTAAATTCCTCAGAGGCTTTCACCTGAGGCAGCGCCCCCTCCTTCTGGCTCCCTCCCTCAGGACACTGGGCGCCTGATCTAGCCTGGCATCTTCGCTTGCACTTCAGTCGTTCTCTTCTCTGGCTCTTTCAAGTTTATTTTTATTATCCAAACATTGTCTAGGACAGAAAAATTCTAAGCAGAAAGCAGACACTTGAACCTTTGCAGCCCCAAGCCTGTTCTTGCCACAAGCAAGGCCCGGGTTTCTGTTCAAAGAAGAATGAACCCTTGGTGGTGGTGGGGGGGGGTTGTTTTCACTTTTACATTTTCATTTCATGAAAGACGTCATTCTGTGTGGCAATTCAGGTCTCCGTCCTGGTGTCCTCTTCTGAGGTCTATGGATGGGCTGCCTGGTGCATGCCTCATGGTGAGCTGACCATTCTGAGGAGAGACTAGTGGCCTCCCTGAAGAGCTCCAGGGGGCGGTTGCGGAGTGGGAAGTGGGACCACCTCCCCTTCACTGGCTGGAGGGGAGCTGGCAGGGAGGAGGAGGGAGGAGCGAGGCCACCCTGGCAGTGTGTTCCAGGAGGTGGTCTGGGTTTGGAGAACCTGGATAGGTGGCTGCCCTCTCAACCTGGCCAGAGCCTGGCTTGGTGAGGAGTTATACCTCTCCCCCCCCACCCCCAGTTCCCTCCACCCACACACACACCACTCTCCGTCTCCCTATGCAGAAGCTGCAGAAGTCACGAGTTCCTCACTGGATCCCTGTGCAGTCACCGAGGCAGGGCTGCACTTCCCAGGCCAGGGACTGTGAAATCCAGGGACTCCTGCCGCTGCTCGCTCCCCTACAGCCCAGAGAGGATGTGAGAGAAGAAAAAAGGGCTGGAAGAAAGGGGAGGACTGGGAATCCCAAGAGTCAATTGGCCTGCAGCCCCCTACCTGCGGGTTTCCCCTTCCTTCCTGTCCCCTCCCGGCCTCTGTCTCCACCACCTGCTCTCCTCTCTCAGCCGGTGGATCTCCCAGCCCATTCCCAGAGCCAAAGGCCCGGAAGTCTGAGTTCCTCTGCCCTACCTCACCCCCTTGCTGTCTGGGTCTCTTGTCTCTCTTCTCCTTGGTTTGGGACCCCACCCAAAGATTCCTAGGAGATTCTGGGGGGCAGTTGCCAGGCCCCTAGCCATCACTGCTGGGATGGGGGGTTCTTCAGCATTTGGGGGTTAGGGTGAACAGGCAAGGACACCCCTCAAAGCCCCAGCTGGCAAAAACAATCCATATATCACTGCCTTCCCTGACCTTCCTGTGTCCCACACCTCCATGGGCCTGGGAGCCCAACCTCTGCCCTGGCACATTAGGGGGGACCCACTGTCCTACCCTCTGGGAGAGAGGGATTGACATTTTAAAAAGAGGGAAGATGCTGATTGAGTTGTTTTTTTTTTTACAATGAACACTATTATTTCTGTAAAACACAAAAAAGTATTTATCTCTGAAAACAGTAGCAGTGCTGAAGGAGGGCAGCTTTTATGGTGAGAAGAGCATTTCCTGGGGATGATGGCAGGTTTGTGGGTCAAGGCCAGGTGTGATGAAATCTTCCCGGGGGTGATGGCAGGAGAGGTGCTGAGGGCAGAATGAGGCTCCTCAAATTCAGTGTTTGGACCCCTCTAAGTTGCTAGCTTCAGTCACCCAGTCACCTTTGTCACTGGTTCATTTCAAGCCTGGCTGCTGGATGACAGTGTCTGCAGATGACAGGGAACAGGACCCTCTGGGCCTAGGGGTGCCCATCATGAGGATGGAGTTCACCGCTGGACAGTAGAGCAGGGAACCCAGTTGGCTGGGCTGGGGTGGCACGTGCAGGATGTGAGGCAGCCTGCCAGTCATACTAGCTGGCATCTACCCTCTCTGGTGCCCAATTGTCTCCAGTTTGACTTGTGTTCTCTGGGGCAGGCAGCTGCCACCTTGACTCTGGCCTTAGACTAGAAGGCTTAAAGGAGGAGGCAAGGGAGTTCTCAACACCTGCCACGTATTAAATCACTCGGCGAACTTGGAAAAAGTTGCTAGTGCTCAGCGGCAAAGGGCTTCTAATCTGGTTAACAGTGGGTTTTAAAAGGCTTCCAGGAAACCAGTAAATTGGGCCAAGAGTATGGAAAGCGGGCACTGCTGGATGAAAGGCAGAAGCAAGTGGTCAGTACGTGGTGATGTAGGGAATGAGAAATAGTTTTGCCAGGACTTTGGGGGTGGGGGTGGGGAG